ACATCAACAAGTCAATGGTTTATCTAACAAAATATCCAATTGCAAGTTAGAAACTAATCCAAAAAGATCAATAAATCAAAGGTCGATCCAAGAAGATCACCAAGCCCGTTTGAGATCAAGTTCCAGCTATTAAGTCAACTAATATGTGAGTTACATGAATCAAGAGAGTTTTAAATCTCGCCTATCTAAATATGCTTACGACTTTGTTACACTTCATGCGAGGAATATCAAGAAGTTAACTTGTGGGCGTACGTCCGAGTTGAGCTATGCTGCAAACTTTCGATCGGTCAAGAACACAAAAACTATTGTGTAATTCAATATTGAAAAGATTATAGTAGCAATTGACAAAGATCTAGACAAAGACATTTATTAATTGACCGTAGAGCAGTCTCTTATAAGATTTAATGGAGGGTATAGGAACGTATCGAGATAAACATTAACTATAGATATTGGTGGACACCCCCTGAAGAGGAAGTTATTAGTGCAAGAATAAGTTACCACAAGTATTATTGGTAAAAATGAACTTTAAAAAAAAATATTAAAAATAATTTTTAAATATATAAACTATAATATAATATAAGAAGAATTATTGGTATAAATATAATTCGATCAACCATGTCTCAAACGCGTTGATGGACCAGATCTTTAAAACGATGATTCATATCCAATCTAGTTAGTAAAAATGAATTCAGTAATGCTAGTCAAAATTTGAGTTTGATTCGAACATGAATCGAGATTGGACTGCTATTTTAATGTGTTGATGTGTATGTATTGATTCCTCAACAAGCAAGTGAGGCTGATAAGTATGTTTTATAGAAAGTATTAATATTATTGTCGAACGTATTAATGTTTAAAGACTAAACTTGAGAACGAGGAACGCAATTTTTTCCTCTCTTTTTCCCTCTCTTCTTCCTTTCTTTCCTATGGCTCACCATCAAGATTTCAAGTCCTAACCCATTTCTAAAACTACGTGGACACAAAAATTTGAACTACTAAATCGCTTGACAGCAAGTAATAGCTAAATTATCGATTCCACCCATGAAGTTAGATGAACTTTTTACTCAATTATTTAGGAACTACATGTTAAGTACGAATAACATCAATAATGGGTATTATTGTGGGTTGTTGTTTAATAACAATACTACTTGTGATATAGCAGAGAAAGGAGACGTGAATAACAAAATCAAATCCGATTAAGATAGTGGATAAGGGTCTGTAATCTTAAGCGATTATATTTCTATTAATTGCTACACTATGGTTACATAACGGGCTATATTCAATTCGAGTCTTAAAGCTTAAATTGTCCACTACGACCAATTAATTTGTGTTTTTTTGGAAACTTAACGAAGGAATCAAGGGCGGGTAATCTTAGGTTGGGGTGAATTGGCAGGATTTCATTATCGAGTAGTTTTAATCACATTCTTGAAAAATATGCCCTCCGCACTCTATCTTTTTTCATCATGATGCATGATAATGTACGTGAGTTATATTACGATGTATGACATACTTAATGGAAGTATGATGATTATGATGTTTTGCATCATGTTTACCTTAATATGATGGTTTTTTCCATATTAAGCATGTTGCATGAAGATGAGTGTCATATTGCATCATGTCAATAGTTTGACTTAGGACACAACCCTAAGAAAATGAAATAGGATATTAAAAAATAAATATCTAACAAGCATGTATTACTAAACGTAACAGAGAGATGAGACTAGGGGTGTGTCAGAAGAGACGTTAAGATGAGAACTAGAGGGATCTCAAGCATGTTGTGTGTATATAAGCATAGAGATACTTCCCCTATAAATGATGAGTGCGGACGCGCACAATAGAATGATGAGGGTGATCATGGTGAGCATGATACGAGGGGTTCTACTGACCTTTGGACGTCGCTATAAACAGCTAGCTTGACCAAAGAGAGTCCAAGGGGCGGATGAGTTGCCTGGAAATTCACACTCGCACGTGTAGGTCGTGTGCAGGGAAGTACTACACATCCATAGTAGTCCGGACTAGAGGCCACCCAAATATGAGATGAGATAGAGATAGGTACCTATAGCATATTTGCATGTGATTGCATTTAGCATGACCCTTATAGTGGGGTCACTTACTAAGTATCTTCGAAATAATCAAGCTGTGTGTCATCATTTTTCAGGTAAAGGCAAGGTGCCCATGTATGGATGACGACGACATCACGATCAGAAACTGTGACTCATGCATAAGATAGACTCATATTTACATTTCTAGTCTTAGGTTAGAATAGGTTGTTTTGCATTCCATTGATTTAAATTATTTTGTATTTTTATTTTCTTCAAATTTTAGTATTTCCTATCAAACACATAAGATCATGATTGTGTTTTCGAGAGATAGAAAAAGTTATAATTCTATAGATGATGTTTTCTTTTAAAAATTATATTTCGAATTTGAACAATGTACGAGACATTAGTGGCGACTCTAAGTAAGGAGACTAATAGATAATCACGTGACACGCTGTCAGTATCTCTCTAAAGTGTGAGGATTGGTGCAAGCCTGGCAACCGCTATCAACATAGTTGTCGTCGGTTGGCAGCGGGTGACGTAAATTTCTTAAAATCATTGGTTTTTATGTAAAATCCAAGCCCATTAAACATTATCTGGTTCCTCAAATTTTTACAAACCAATGCAAAGCCTTTGTTTTATTAGGAGAAAAGTTTATTTTTTACTCCACTTGGGATTCTTTATTTAGGAAGGGAGGACATGTCTGCATGGAGGACATGTCTGAATTTGCTGGCATTCGGTCTACCAGCCAAAAATATGCATGATTCAATTCAAATACGCATAATTGTTTGTTGTGCTGTGTCTATATGGATAAATGTTCTATATACCACGTTAAATGATTGATGCAAGAGCGTGATAAGGAGTTAGATTATTTCAATTTATTATCACATCTTATATCTTGTGATCAGTATCATGCAGCATGATGTTGCTGCCATGTGTGGACGGTTAGGGCACTCGTCAACTCACTTCTAATTGTGAACTTATCTCGAGTGATTGTCTTCATGGAATTTTCAGGACATGGAATCACTCCCATATGATTGACTCTACGATGTGAGGATTAGTAAAGTTGCCAATAGCTCTTAATAGTGAACCTGCATAGGGGTCGACATTGGCACTCGGTATTTTGAGGAGCTAGTACATATCAAGTCATGTCCTGAAATCATTTAATTTTACCCATAAAATACCATGTGGAGACGATAAAGAGATCTTGAACTATTTCTTGGTCATGAACTTGTCTCGTGCACAAGAGTCCACATGAATATCTAGTAGCTCGGAGGCTTATTAGGTGCTAGAGAACCAATATTTTCTATAATATCCTAGTAATTCAGTACTATCTCATAGATTTATGACAGGTAGGCACACAACTTAGATACCACTTGTCACAATCGCATTTTGGTGACAGCAGACTAGCGATTGTGCGGCACTCACTTCCCAGCAACAAGTGAGTTAAGTCTATTCGTTCTTACGTTGCTTACGGCCAAGCTACGTATGCTCGAGTCTCTGGTCCCGATTCAAGAAGAAAGTTTTAGAAAACGAGGACAAAAAGATTTCGAAAGAGAATTTTGAAAGCAAGATTTAAGAAATTGAAATTGGTGTTATATGGGAATGTAAGCAAAAAGGCAACAACAACGACTTACTGCATATAACTATCGGGTAGGGAAAAATTGACAACTTCACCCTAAAATCCTATAGAGAACTCTGATGGGTAGATACACTCTCTAAGGAGCTGAATGATGGGAGCCCATTAGGCCAAATCATTAAAAACTATATCGAGTGAAATTGTAAATATCCAAATAGGATCAAAACATAAGAAACCATGAGTTAAGGGTTCTAAGACCCTACAAAAGCTATATAAATATATCGATTTAGAGACTTGTCAGTAGGCTATTACTAAATACTTTTATATTTACTCATAGCTTGCGAGAGCTACATGGCTATAGGAGACAGTAGCTCTGAGTCATACTATATTTTGATTATGAACATATCATCTCATCGAGACGTATCTCATCATCTTATATTCCATAAACGATTTTGAAAAGATACTAAAAAAAAATGAGCTATTATATCTTCAACCTCGTGTCTATATTATTAAAAAAAAAAAAAAAATCCTTAATTTAGGGAAAGATGAGGAAGAAAAAATTAGATTTGTAAAGGAAAATAAAGTTGATTGGTTTTTGGGTTAGAGACATATTGACAAACTCACAAGTTCAAATGCTGTCAAATTCAACACACTTAATTCTATGCCTCGTATAAATATTTTGCATCACCATTTATTTGGTAAGTCTGTAAATTAGGTTAGTTCCCGAAACCCTTAAACCGTACATATTGAGTTAGGTTGAATGAGTTTTTGGATTATTAGATTGTTCCTGTGACACCCGTAAATATATATATAATCCTATATATTTTAATTAATTAACTAAAAATATGAGTTCTAAACGTGTTAATTAAAATCGAATAGTTAATAAAATAGATTTTAATTAGTTAAATTAAAAAAAAAAAAAAAAAAGTTTCAAAATGATTTGAAATAATCATAATTGGTATAGTTGGATTAATTATATAATATCTCAAAATTGTCCCCCAAATATATTCGGATATTCCTTTGATCAACACTTTCATATACGATATGAAGCATGCGAACCATATAAATACTCATATATATATTCGTCTCCCCTTGCTAATAATATGTCATGCTTAATGCTCTCTTTATTTGCTATTAAATTATTAATCTCTAAATTTTTTATTATTTTTTTTTTTGTTTAATAAATTCTCCAGTTTTTATTTGAGTAAAAAATATACGTGAATTTATTGAATTATTTATTAGATAATTTTAAAGTTTTAAAAACTTAATAAACTCATAATTCAACGTTCTTTTCCGTTAAATTTTATTTTAAATTTATTGAAAAGGTTTATTTAACGTTGAAGATTCAGAATATGAAGTAAGGTATGTCCGGATTAATTGATTTGAAGATCCTAATATCATGATCATCGTCTTTGATCCAAACCCATGTACGTCAGAAACTTAAATCCCAAGTTTCCCCTTGATTAATTGAATCCTTCTGTAAAATCGTGTATAAATTTGACTGGAAATTTTTAGTTTCCTCGTTCATGCCTTTCTGTTCTAGCTTTCCATCGACGGGGAATCAACATGTTGGCTTCCGAATCTCTGTTAGTGGAAGGAGGTGTTCGTTCCGACGTTCAAGAATCGACGAGTAAGCACTACTACTTAGGCAGTGATGATTTCAAATTTCATCGAAGCTTAAGCGTGAATGAAGAGGAGAAATCCAGCGATCTGTTCGAGATCGACCTAGGGCTTCATGTGCAATCCAATCGTAATAAACTGGAGGATGATTGCGAAGAGAGTTGGTTCTCCTTCGATTTTCGCAAATCGAACCATTGCGTTTACGTCGGGATCGGCGATAACGACGCTTCCAGTATGGCCGCCTTGCAATGGACTCTCGATTTCGCTGTTTTACCATCCAGTATCGTCTATTTGCTCCATGTCTCCCCCGAGATTCGCTTCGTCCCCAGCCCGTGTATGTCCTATCTCCCTCTCCCTCTCTTTAACAGAGTTCTTGGCATAGAATCACTTTCATCGAACTAAAATTATTGCGTGTTTCGTTATCAAGTGGGAATGCTTCCGAGGAGCCAGGTCGGTCCGAAGATAGTGGAGACGTTCATGGCGGAAGAGAGAGCAAAGAGGAGGGAGTTTCTCCACAAATTTGTTGATACATGTTCTTCTGCTCAGGTATAGCACCAGATCACGTTTCGGTTGTTCGATTTTATTATCCAGTTTTTACAACCGAATTCTTACAGGTCAATGTGGAGGTTGTGATGATTGAGAGTGATATGGTAGCCAAGGCGATTCTTGATCTTATCTCTCTTCTCCAGATTAGGAAACTCATACTAGGGAGGAACAGCACCAAGGCCAGGTCTCTCTCGACTCTCCCTCTCTCTAAACAACCAAGTAATTCTCAGTTTCAAAACCTTAATGTTTAAATGTTCTTAATCTGTGTGCTGAGAGTTTGAGAATTCTGGATCATAGAAGAAAATGGAGATCGAAGAGAGAAGGAATAGCCAAACAAATATTGAAAAATGCAGAAGAATTTTGTGATGTGAAAATCATATGTGAAGAAGGAAAGGAATCCACCTGCCAAGTGATTGATTCATCTTCATCATCATCTTCTTCTTCTTCTTCTTGTTCTACAAATTTCAAGATCATGAAGAAAGAATATCGCCACAGTGGATTCGTATCTTGGAGGTGTTTCGGTAGTTAAATCCCAATCTTCTTCTGATCCACTGACCTTATGTGAACTATTCTCAAGCTTTAGATGACAAAAAGTACAAACCATTACTTCTGCAAACTGAAAATTGAAATTGTTGACAGGCAAAAACAAGTATTGTCGTTACTAAAAGAAATCAAACTCCAGATAATTATCAGATGATTTGGAGTCAGGGCCAGGTCTAGCCATTACAGTTTTTCCACTGACTGAAGGTGTTGGTGTGGGTATCCGCTCGATCTCGACAGGCTTTGGTACTTCCGGTGGCGAAGCGCATCGTATCAATGCCCAGTTAACACCTTCAAAGAAGGGGTGTTGTTTGATCTCAGTTGCTCCTCGTTTGTAAGCTAATCTATGCTGTGGTTCCTTGACAAGCAATCCCCTGATGAGATCTCTTGCAGCAAAACTAACAACTGGTGATTCAGGAAACCGTAAAGGCTGACCGACGACGTTGAACAACGTCGCTCGATTCCCAGATCCCTTAAAAGGAGTTTTACCAAACAACAGTTCATATAGAAAGATCCCGAATGTCCACCAGTCAACAGCACTTCCATGACCTTCACCTTTAATGATCTCAGGCGCCAAGTACTCGTGCGTACCAACGAACGACATTGACCTTGCCTCTGTAGGCTCTGCAACGAGCTCTGGCAATGGCGTTACCTGGTTTCCTATTTCAATCTTGGGTTTCCTATCCTTCTTTGACTTGCTAGAGAATAGCCTGGGAGAGAAGCACATGGTGGGAACTACACAGGATGGCTGGATGCAGGAAGGTTGGATACAAGCCGGTTGAGCACAATAAACTGAATTCTTTCTCAGCGCCTCGGACTCCGAACACGATCCCTTAACCAATGTTGGACTAACAGCACATCTTAAGGAAAGATCAAAATCTGAAAGCATTATGTGTCCGTCCTCCCTCACGAGAACATTCTCGGGCTTAAGGTCCCGGTATACAATCCCGAGCATGTGAAGATACTCAAGTGCTAGGAGGACCTCTGCTACATAAAATCTGCATCAAAAACCATATGCTTATAAGCTTTATGCAGGCAAAGAAACATGAATGTATAGTGATTAAGTTGGAGGGCGACGAACATACTTCACGGCCTGTTCGGGAAAATGCTTCCCGGGCTGTCTCTGCCTTAGAGTGTGCAAGTCTCCCCCAGGGCAGAACTCCATCACCAAGCATGAGAACTTGTCAGTTTCGAAATGAGTATACAATGTAGGCAGGAATGGATGATCAAGAGATTGCAGTATTTCTCGTTCGGTCTGAGCACGAAGCAACTTCTTTCGACTCGCTAGAGACCCTTTATCCATGACCTTCATTGCAAAGTAACATTTAGTACCGCTCAACTCCGACAAGTAGACGCTTCCGATATCGCCACAACCTAGTCTCTTCAACAGTCTAAAATGGCCTAATCCCAAAATCCCATCCCTTGCACGGACAGCTTGGATGGCCTCCCATCTCAAGTCATTCGACTTGTGAGGCTTACTGATGCTACTACTAAAGCTGCTACAGCTGCTTTCATCGCTTATATCGCTGCTCGTGCTACCCCGACACACGCTGCTCTTCCCACTCTCAACCATCTCCACACAGTTACTAATCTTACCACTTCCACTGCTCTTAGCAACACTGTTCGTATCCTTCCCACTCTCACATTCTGATGTTTTCTTTTCAGGTTCCACAGAGTCCTCTGCTGTACCCCGAGTCCCGGTAAGCGCAGGATCTCGCTGGGTCAATGTGATCTCTTTGGTGTTTGATGAATCACTCAAAGTGCACTGATTCAAGGATTTCTGCGTGGAGTTCAATACATCTCCACAGATAACTGGATCAGTTGCAGAAGGTTTGGAAGCCGTTTTTGAGGCCATTAGAGGTAAGAAAGAGTTTTGATTAAAGCAAATCAGATTTGAGAAAATTCATGGAGCAGCACACTATATGAAGAACACGCCTGCCTTCGAATCATGACCAGAAAACTGCATCAAAATGAAATATATTAGATGAAACAACATAGAAGAAACAGAAGATTCAAAGGGTAACAAGGAAACCCCAGATCTTGAAATGGAAACCCACAAGCTTCTTCTTGAGTGCAAAGAAGAGATCCATGGGGGGAACGCAACCCCAGAAGCCAAAACCAGAAGAAATGAAAGAAGAGGAAGATGAAGGGAGGAAAAGCATACCTAAAATGAAGGGGAAAGGGGAAAGGGGTTTGGGTTTGGGTTTGGGTTTGGGTTGGTTTGCTTTGCTTTTGGTGGTGTGCGTGACAGTGGAAAAAGGAGAAGATGAGAGAAAAGAAGAAGGGTCGAAGGGGTGTAATAAAGGAAGGCCCTTTTTCACAAAACAATAATTTTGCATCGGTATTTTGTCCCGGAACCAAAGGGGTCCGAATCACCGAACGACTGCTGTCCACCACCTGTCTGCCCAGCCCTGCCCTGCCCTGCCCTGCCCTGCCCTTGCCTTTGCTATTCCATTTTTCCTTTTATTTTATTTCTTTCTACTCTCATTTTAGCCCCATAATTTCATCTTAATTTGTGTATAAAGATATGGGCAGCATAAAGGTCTTTTATCCAACTTGCTAACTAAAATAAAATCCATAATTAATAATGAAAGGAGGAAGAAGAAAGCCTCTTTTTAGCTTGCCTTTTTTGTTACTACTAACTTTTTAGAGAATATCATTAGTGTAATTTCATTGGTTTATAATATCATCCTAAATTACATTTTTAGTCCCTACTTTAAGAACATATTTCTGTTGTAGTCTTATTCTCCTTCATTTTTCGATCAGTGATGAGTGTTAAGGTTCTACATTTTCTATTGTGGGGTGTCAGATCTTGACATGCCTATGACAAGTTGTAAGAAAAATTTTAATTTCATATACATTTTTCGTCTGATTTTATGGCTTCGTTAGGCTTTAAATGAGGTTTTTCTTTCCACCAACTGAATATAATTTGTGCGAAATCTAAGCTTATTTGGTCAAAAATGTTGTTTGGCGTGTATATTCAATCGTTTATAACTCTTTTTGACGTGTCTCTACACTAGGTTAAGTTATATGGCTCTACCTTTCCTCTACTTGGGGCTAAGGTCTCTCACATGCATTATCACAACTCCTCTTGTCATTTTGGTTCCCTATTAACACAACCAAATCTCGGATGTCATCAGCTATCGAAGCTTACTCAATCATGTTTATCGAGAATGAACCCATGTGTCCTACATATCAATTCGAGTTTTATTAAGGCAAGGACCCCCTCGTGTCTATGATAAATCATTTAGAGATACCGTACTAGATAGCATGTCCATATTTCAATCTTCGACACATGGGTTAGAGCACAATGTCAGCACCTGACAGCGCCATTGAAAGACTCATTTCAAAAGAAGTCGCTTGAAACACTCGTCTTACAAAATTCACCCTTGCTGTGACGCATGTATGTGTCATAAGGTAACTCACTTAGGCCACAAAGCCCAGGAGTAATGGTTGTAACCTGGGTGATGAGTGATATCTTCGACTCCATCACTTAGTATTACTCAAGTACCCTCAATATACCTTTTAACTTTAAACAAACATGAGAAAATTTGAATATAGAAAAATTCAACACCCAAAAGTCAATTTCTTGGTTTGGTTGGAAAAAAAACGAATTAAAAAATTACATAGATGCCCTTCATTTTTATTTCAAATTGATATTATGACATAATGCACATGTTTGCTCGGGTTGCGTTTAAAATTATGATACAAATTCTTAATATGTCTCTCTTTTACCATCTATTAAGAGAATAGGTCCAGTTGAAACAGCGTGATTTTATTCATCTCTACCAGCTGCCAGAGTCATGTTCGTCATGTCCATGCTACGTCAAACCCTTTATTTGATTTCATGTTGTATTGTTTTACAATAGTATTTTCTATTTGTATGACTGTTCCGTGAAATTATGTCTAGACTTGCCAGAACTAAATCGCCTAAAAAATGACCGAGGATGTGACTAGTTGTCAAATCTTCCTACCTTGAGTTGTATGCTATTTAATTCGTTGTGTTGTCTTTCTAGCTTATAACCTAAAACATTACTTTCAAACTCTCTCTTTCAAAAATATCTCTACCCTCAATTTCTAAAATCTTCTTAAAATCTGAGTGAGTCAACTTCCAAGTGTAACGGCTATAAAACTAATCACGAATTATCTTTGAGTTTTATATTAACTTGATATCTCTTTATTAGTCCCTTCAATCATATTCAACTTGTACACCACACGCGCTTAAGGCACAATCTCATCATGGTTCCAACTCATAATCTCATGTTTTCATCAATCGAGACACATATCCTATGCAGTCCTTAGCCCTCATCTAAGCAAGTTTACAACTAAGGAATGGAGATCTCATGGTTTCAATTCATAATCTCATATTGTCGTTATGTACACAATCAATCGAGACAGATCCTAATCAACCCCACACAGTACTTATATGGAACTAAAAGGTTTATTCACCACAAGGCTCACCCCCATCCATACCAATCATAATTATAAAGATATAATTACAGATCCCATCGGGTTGGATTCCCTATTAAAGGTTAATTCGCAACCCTCTAATAGTCCTCACATCATAGCAAGCTACTAAAAGTACTATGTAGACTTTTATCAATCGAGACAAGTTCACAAATAAGAATTAGTTGGTGAACCACTAAGCATCTCCATATAGCAACATGTTCACATCAAGCATAGTTCACGTAATCAAATAGAGAGAGAGTAAATTGACTTAATCATAGACCCCGAACAATTCAATGTCACATAATATTCAATAAAGAATAAAGACAAAGATATGGGAATATTTCTACCAACATCATGTTTTCAGCAAAATAATAGTGAATTAGATTCTAAATCATCCGCAACATTCAATATTATATCATGCTCAATTATATACTACAAGCATTACACAAACTTGATTTGATTAGATCGACTTAACCCGTTCAACTGAGTTCGATTGAACCGAACCTACTAGACTGGTTGTCTCCTACCTCAAGCTTCAGT